TATCTGAGAAGAGGACACGTGGCATCAGGATAGAAATTGAAGGGCTCACAATGAGGTGGTGGGCTTTCTACAAATGGCATCCATGACATGGCCCTTCCTCTCTCTCTCTCTCTCTTTTTTCTTTTCCAATATCTTCTTTTTCTTTTCCAATATCTCTTTGGAAAATTAGGGTGATCCTATTTTTTTTTAGTAGAGCAGGATGACGTGAGTATTCGAATTCATGACTGCTAATTACCATCAAAGTAACTTCGTGTTAGAAGAATGATCCGTCTATTTAAGACATCGAAATCTCAATTTCATAAAAACATCAAAAAATATAGATGTCGATAGATATTTATGAAAAAGTTATAAAAATAAAAAAATTCGTAAAAATATGTAAATTAACAAATTAGGATTTCATTCTTTCTAAATAAATTAAAAATCATAATTTTGCTGATATTGTTTGTATTTTGTTGATTATGTTATAACGTTGTGGAAATATTAATTTACCCTTTATATTGATATGGAACTCATGGATATATAGAAATGTCGATGGAGAGATCTCAATATGTCAATAGAATATTTAATACAATGTTTATACCATTGAAATGCAAAATAGTAAAAGGAAAAAAAATTATGGTGGAGATTCTCATTCAAGCCTTTTTAGTTCAAGATAAAAAAGTAATAATAATAATAAAATAAAATAAAAAGGTATTATATAAATAGTCATTCATAATTTAACTTTCTAATTCTCCTCTACGTATGGTCACTTTTATCCTTATTATTGTTTTTATTTTCTTTATTTTCTTTATTTCCCTTTTTTTTTAGTACTACTCTTATTATTGTTAGCCTAATAAATTTGGAACTTCTTTCAAATTTGAAATATATGATTTCGATTCTTTTTATTTGAAATTTTGGTTTTTTTAAATTTATTTTTAAACTAACTTACGTTTTTAATCTTCTTGTGTTCTTCAATCATCACTTTGATCTTCTATTAACCTTGTTTCAAGTCTTTATCTCTGATTAGTTTTTTCACATATTTTTTAATTAATACAGGTTTTTATGCTTTCAATTTTTTAATGGTTTTTTTAGTATCTCCTACCTATGTTTTATTGTTATTTCATTTTTTTATTTCTTTTTCACTTATTTTTTTGACTCCTATACTACCCCTTTTTAATGTATATATTCCATAATTCAGGTCGATTATTTTAATTTTTGTTACTATTCTCTTCCTTTATTGTTTTACTTCTAATTACTATTCTCTTTCATTTATATAACTACAATTAATATTCCACAAAGAAATTTCTAAAAACATTTTATCATCTTTTTTTTTTATAATCAATCACCATTCTTTTGTGGGGTACTTTTTCATTAGTTCATTTTTCTACATTGTGTAGTAGTTTTCTCATCGTGCATCATTTTTACTAACATTTTTTGAAGCTCTTATTTCCACTTAGATTTTATTTTTTACTCTATCATTTTCTCCATGTTACCATATAATTTATTATCTATGTTTTGTTTAATATGAAATATGACATGATAAAATTTTACCATCAATGTATTATAATTTACTTCATAAATTATTATTTATTGGCCAAAGCGAACATATTCAACGGTAATTGACATGTATCTCAAATAAAAAATTTGTGAGTTTGATCCTTCAACCCTACATGTTGTACTAGAAAAAAAGTTACTATTTACTATTTTTTTTCTATAATACACACTATAATTTCTCAAGCTTTTTGATTTTATATACCTCTCCTATACTCCATATATACTCCATTTTCTCGATTATACTTTTAAATTTATTCCCTATTAACATTACATCTCATTTACCGTTATCGTTACTATTTACTATTTCTAAGTTACTATTTACTAGGAAGTAGATTCTTCTTTTTATTAAATAAAATCTCTTCTCAAATTGTACAAGGTGAAGTCATAAATCTTTTACTAATCAATTGTAAGTATTGATTTATGTAATCAGTAGAACCCTACTTGAAAATGAAATGACTCTTTTGGTTGGAACCTTAAATAGGTTGTCGATGATAAGCCAAAGGAAGATGATGATGGACCTTGATACGAAGTTGGAGCTTCTGAATGTGGTAATTATGAATATGATGTCAGAATTTATGTCACTATTTACATTGTTCTTATGAAGTGCTTTTACACGCATATATATTTGAAAAATATATTGTGTATTTTAATAGTATTTTGTAAATAATTTCTACTTCTTCGTCATGTTTTGAAAACCTATCTAATACTTCTCAAAACCATAATGGAAACGGTCATGTTTGTAGTGATTCTAGTGTGGAAAAGTGAACACCCTACTTCATAAATCATCCAAAATTGTTTCTTCCCACTTATTCCTATTTTTTATTCAATCAACCAAATCAAAAACATCAATTCATTATCAAGGCTTTTTTTTTATCTTTTATTTTTATTTTTTGAAAATGGATCGTATTAAAAGAACTTCTTTACATGATGTTACAAATCAGCTGACTGAGAAAAAAAGAAAAGTTGGTAAGCCAAAAAACGAATGACTCATCATGATGCTTTCCTTCACTAGAGAATGAGCAGCGGTTCGATTCCCTAAATACATGGTGAAACTAAATCAAAGCAAAAGATCTTGCCACATAATGGATATAAGTTATCCAATTTACAGCCTCATCTGTTGAGAAGGATTTTCACAAATCAAGGATTGTATAATCATTATCAATGATGAATTAATATCGTTATATTGAGAAAAAAAAAGGGTAAAATAGAAAATATTATAACAAAGAATCCACCTAATATAAGATATTATAACATTCACAATAACATATCTCATATCTCATTCGTTTGAAAAGAGAGAAAAAAATCATTTTATATAAAAAAAAATTGTCATTTTACAAAAAAGAAAAAAAGTCCCCATCGGCCCCACATTACATCTCAACTTGCTCCCATCGACCCACCACTTCCTCTTCGACCATCATTGGGAATAAGGGAGTCATGGCCCCCAAAATTTTATATTTTATTTTTATATTATAATATCAGCAATTTTCTTGAATTTTAAATTATACAATTATGATTTTTTACCCAAAAAAATATAAAAAAGCCATATATTGTTCCTATCTTCTTATTATTTAATTATTACATGAATTCTTAGATAGTTGCTCTTCTAATTATTAAATTTTGTATGTTCTTCTATTTATTACTTTAATTTTTGTATGATTTTAAAAATTAGTGAAAGAAATTTGCACTATCTTACCAAAAAGGAATGGACAAAACACACTCTCTGTCTCTCTATAATTGTTTTACCTGAATTAAGACTGATTATATATAAAATATGTGGAGTCCATTTTTAGGAAAATTATAAAATTGGCACTTTCAGCTTATAAAGATCTTCAATGATTAACCAAGACTTCAAATAAAAGTGATTTAAGAAAAAATTATTTATTGTAACGTTTGATAATATGGAAATAAGAATGGAATTGGAGTAGAATAAAAAATTTTACACTTCAGTTTTTCAAATCTCAGTACGTGGTAATTTCAACCCACGATATTTTAATGAGAGATATATGTCTTAATCAATTGAGTTAAACTCAGGTTCAATTTTCATATTAGTCACTTAAAAGATAGCCGTTTGAATTCTTTTTTTAATAACTTA